GAGAGAGAGAGAGAGAAACACAAAAAGAAAAACAAGTCAAAAGTTTGCTTGGGGATTTGCAGTCAGTCAGTCAGATGTCAGAGGAGCTGTCATGTTAATCCTCTCGTCTCCCTGCAGATCCTTTCACCCATCCAGCACTGGAGGCAGTGTCTGAGAAACCCAGGAAGTCCTCTTCATCTGATTCCTCATTCAGGATCTTCAGAACACGCTTGCGCTCCTGATCCAGCAGGTCTTGAATGTTAGGCTTTTCTACTCAGACTTTCTCTTGTTCCCCAACCTCCATGTCTCGTCTGTGTTTATCATAGTTCTTTTTCTGGTGACATTGTTCAAAGTCCAGGTTTAAAAAAAAAAAACAACATATGATGCAATCATGGTTTTTAAACTAAGGTTCACTCTCTGCGAGGTTGGTCTGGGGATCATAGGTGGATGTTATTTTTATATTCCAGGTTATAGGCACATCATTTGGAAGACAGAGGAAACAAACTGTGACCTACGATCGGAATTGAAATTAATGCTAATCCAGCTGTGTCTGCTGGATGTGTAAATGCCCCTATGTAAATAAAGGGGAATGTAGATGATAACTTGTTTTGGAGCTATCATTTAAAACTGAATAAAAACATTTTTAAAAAGTGTGATTATTATATGGTTTGTGGTCTGTCTGTGACTATCTTCTTCATTTTTATGTTTATTCACCAAATGCCAGATTATTTATGGGCACATTACTGTAACATGGTGGCCTTGCTTTAATTCCCCCAGCAGCCTGTATAGAAACATGGCATTAATTATTAGTGATGAAACATGAGATAAGAAGATAAAGACACAGTAAATCTGGTGCTTAGGTAAATGAATTAATGTGTTTATATAGTAGGCCTCAGGACTTTCCTTCGCACATACTCGCTTGTGATATTACAATAAATGTGTGTGAAAAAGTAAATTATCCTGAGGGTGATGTCCAAAATGGAAAGTTCTCAGTCTCATGGCGAATCCTAAATCTCCTTTCCTGTCTGTTGCACATATTTCTGATCAGTAGGTAAGTGCCTGTGAAATATAAAGTATTGCTATAATAAATGGAAGTCTCAAAGCACAGAGACAGCACAGAGATATCACAGTCATCTGAAACAAGCAAGATTAGATCATCTGCAAAAAACAGCACTCATACCTGCAGGATATGAAAAGTAGGCCCAGTCCAGGGTTCCCACTCTTTTTAATAAATCCTTTTCCAGTCTTCAGCAAATGGACTAAAGTTTTCTTCTCACCTTAACATTATGGCTTCAGCCCAGAAGTAATAGTTCAAATCAAGTACAATATTCCCCAATCAATTATCATTATTATTCAAGGTATCAAGGATTTTATTCATCCTTAACATCAAAAGGCTGTATAACAAAATGGAAGTTTGTAGTTCCTTCATGCTACACACAGAGATAAGATAATCAAGATAATCAAATTATTATATAATAACATTAAAGACCAATAAATTAGAACAAAATAAAATAAAATAATATATAGAGTTATTTATATACATATATACATACACGTATACACCCAGGAAATATTTCTGCAGTGCATCTGGTTGAATGTAAACAGCAGCAACAAGATAATTAGGATAATATGGTTTCATCTTCACATAGTGTCACTGTTTAATGTCCAGTTGTAATTATTGTAAATTATATTATTATACAACTGAGCAGCAGAAATTGATATGAGAAACAGCTCTGTGTAGATAAGTATCACCATCACCACAACAAAGCCAGGACAGGTTGACAGCCTCTAATGTTTATGCATCCTGTGTCAGCTGTGGTTCCCAACCTGGGGGTTGTCAAAGCTTCATGGGGGGTTGTAAGGCCTTCTTGATTTTAAATTAAAAAATATACCATTTGGTTCACGTCTGTGAAAAAAAAGTAAATGTAAAGAAAATTGTCTAATAGAACAATGGCCAAGCATCAGGCGGAAGAAAACACTGAACTTGTCAATAAAGAAGCCTATTAAGTATGTATAATAGTTTAAAAAAACATAAAAACATAATACAGACAGACATATATATATAAAGTTCCTAAAGATATCAGGTAAACTCACCTCTGATGTTCACAGTAAATAATCTGCTCAAAATTCATCCAAATCACCAGATTTACACAAA